TGTCTCCGAGGCTGCTGTTGTGGTGCACAGGCCTGTGGCGTTCTTACTCACTCCTCATGCAGGTCCCTCGGGAGGGTGGACATTTGCCCAGTTGTGCAGATGAGAAAACAGCTCAGAGAGGCTGAGCTGGGGGCCAAGGTCACACAGGAGGAGGCAGATTTCCCTTTGCCCTTGTGGAGCTGAGGCTGTTTGAACATCTGCTCCCTCCGCTGGTTCTGGGGGCTGGAGCAGGGGTCCCCTGGTTCCCAGCCCCCACTGCATACATCTCCCAGCTCTCCCAGGCCCCACGGGCAGGTGGGGGCCCCAGAGGCTCCAGGTGTGTGTTCTCGATGCAGTCAGAGATGTGCTTAGATATTTGTGGGCTCCAGGGGCGAGTTTAGGTAGCAAGTCCTTGCAACCAACCTCCCCCTTTTCTCTCTCCCTGCCCGGCCTTCCCCCCAGGCCCTCAGCTGAGTGTTGGGCACCAAAGATAACTCAGAACTGGCCCCTGCTCCCCAGTTGTGGGGTTTGCCTTTAGGGAGCCAGTCACTGAGTCCTGCCAGGGGGTGCCAGGGGCAGGGGCGTGAGGAGGCGGCCTGGGTGACTGCACAGGGCTGTAAGGCTGCAGGGCTGAAGGCCCGGCACTCTGGGTGGGGGAGCCAGGAGGGGCGGCAGGGGAGGTGGTGGTGTGGCCAGACATGAGAAGATTTGGGCATCATCGAGGCTGAGCGCACCCGGAGTCCCATGGGAGCCTGCGTGGCAACGAAAGGAGACTTTGCCCTCTGCCCCTCCCTGCTGCAGGGCTTCTTCCGCGGCAGGGACGGGACCCTGGGACAGGACCCTGGGACAGAGGTGGGGCGGCTGCGCTGGGGCCCCTGGTGCAGCTGCCATTCCCGCGCTCACTTCCACGCCCACGGGCAGGGGGCAGAGCAGGGGACCGGCTCTGTGACGTAGAAGGGACAAGGTTGTCGGTGGCTGAGGTCAAGGTCAAGGGAGCGCAAGGCGGCCCAAACCCAGCTCTGCCTCTGAACTCACCACGAAGATGAGCTCGCTCGGTGCCTGTGTTACAGCTGGGGAAACTGAGGCCCACAGAGACTTAAGGCGCCCTCCTCAATCACTCAGCTGGACGAGGGCAGGGCTGGGATTCCTCCTCAGGGCCGCGTGACTTCAGGCCTCGGCTGCGTCCCCCACACCCACCCCGGGCCCCCTCGGTGCTGACAGCGAGGGCCCAGCCGTCACCCTCGGGCCGGGCAGAGCGAGCGCGGCTCAGACTGGCGGCGGCCGCTCGGTCCCCGGAGCGGGCACGTGGGCTGGAATGACCGGCCGCTGCCTGGCAGCCACCTCCCAGCTACCCCCTCCGGGAGGTCACTCATTGGCAGTTAAAAATCTATTGTGACTTGTCAGAAAAATGAATAAATGGGCACATTATTTTTTCATTCCAGACCTCAGCATCTGTTTGTCTAATCAGGAAGGAGATGGGGAAGTCGGCCAGGGCGCTGCGCGCGTTTTATGTAAGTTTTCCTCTGTCAGAGGAGTTTAAATGGGTAATGAACAGGCCGTGGTGATTTGAAATATAATCCCATTATGCTGACGAGATTACCGGCTTCAGGACTCCACAAATCACTCTTAGGGCTTTTATAGCCAACACCGCCCTGTTGGGAGTTTGCATTTAGGCAGAGGTGTTCGGTGGGAACACAACGTGACAGGCTTAACCCTTTCCCTCTTCCCGGTGGCTTTCCAGACAGCAGGGGCCTCCCGCCGGGGGCCTCGGCGGGGCCTTGGGGATCCAGGGTGTTTGGGCCCCATCAGCCCAGACGGCGGCCCGGCGAGGCCAGGATGGCTTTGGGGGAGCGGGAGGGGGGAGCGAGGCAGCCCCGACTCTGCCACGTCCCCTCGGCTTCCTTCCTCGTGAAAGGAGAGCTAGGTAGGCCTGAGCGTGGGCCGAGATGGCTGCCAGTAACTGACCCCAGTGAACACTTAAGAAGGAGCAGGGACAGGCACGGAGCAAGAACAGCAAGAGCCAATCTAGCCGGCTTGCCCCCGGGGGAGGCCTACCTGGGTTTACAGGTGGTACTTGGGAGTCTAGCAGTTTCGTTGTTTTTAGTTCGCACCTGAAAACACAGGTCGGCACAGCCAATCTGGGCCCAGGCGGCTGCGCGGGCGGGCGAAGACAGTCACAGGCCCCTCTCCCCACTCCTGGTTCCCTCGCGTGTGCGCTGCAGCCTCCAGCCCCACCTGCTGGACACAGCAGCTGCTGACCCTGTGCCTGGGCTGTGCCGAGTCCTCCCCCAGCTCCCGGGCCGTCGGGTAGGGGCTTGGTCTCCCCTGGGTGGCTGCGGCCTCCTCACTTCATCCTCCTGGCCTTGGCTCGGTGCCGGACGCCGGTGTCCTAAAGCTCCATGGGGGAGGTCAGTGTGTGGGGGTGATATCCACAGGTGGCAACTGTCCTCCAACAGTGAGGGGAGGGCCTGGGGTGGCAGGGTGGTGCCGCATGCGCGCACCCCATAGGCCTCCAGTCTCTGTGCCCTGGTGACAGCTCCTGTCCTCTGCACGGCACCTTCCAGGCCGTGCAGGTCTCCACGGTGCCGGCCGGGTCTCTACTCTGCTGTGGCCTGGGGCTCACCTGCTCACCTCTTGGCCTCTCCAGAGTGGGAGCACCTTGATCGTCAAGTGTGGTCTTTGCTCTCCTCGCTGCCCTGATGTTTTACAGTTCCTGACCTGGGGAGGGGTTCCCTAAGAGGCAGCTGGCAGGTTTCAGGGGCAGCAGGGACTCTGGGCCCAGGAAGGAGAGGTGTTAGGAGGCAGTGGCCAGCTGGGCAGTGGGCAGCAGAGGGCAGGAGCACAGCTGGAGTCCCGACCAGATGAGGAAAAGCACTGACCTGATGGGCAGCTGCAGGTAAGCAAGCAGGGGTGCAAAGACCCTGAAAGGGGCACACCCTTCACCCGAGGAGGCTGAATGGAAGGACCTCCCATTCTCTTCCAACCCTTAGAATTCTTGGGAGAAGCAGGGAAGCTCCTCTTAGTCTCGGCAAATGGAAACTGCTGGAAGGAAAGGCTTACTGTGATTCGGAGACACTTAAGACAGTCTCTAGAAGAATCTGCAGGGGTCACCTAAGCCAGCATCTTCATTTGCAGGTGAGCAAACAGCGGCCCTAAGTGCCAGTGCCTGTCGGAGCCACACAGCGGCACAGCCCAGTGGCCTAGGGCGCAGCTGTGGGGTCAGTCACTCCTGGTGTCCCGGGGACTCGGGGCGACCCATCCAAGACCTCGTCTTTGGAGTGGGGGAGGGGAGGCTGGCTTCGGGAGTCCCCTGGGCACACACCTATTAATAAGGGTGGGCACACAGGCACCCTCAGACCTGGCGGCTACTCTCAGAGGCCAGCTGAGGCCAAGGCCCCAGGGACCGCTGCCCAGGCCTGCCAGGCTCCCCACACCCAGAGCTCCCCATTGTGAGTTATCATCCTATCGGCAGGGACACCCTGGAGCCGGACTAGGGGGCGCAGCTAGAAAGCACAAGTGGGCTGCGGTGTCATTCTGGGTGCTGCTCCGGCTTTGGAGAGCCCGGCCCCGGGAGGCATGTGAGAGGCGCTTCCGTCCTGCAGGAGCGGAGGGAAAACTGAACAGTCGAGGCATCTGGCCGGCTGGGACGGTGGCAGCGTCTCTCTTCGGTTCTCTCTTCAGGTGGACAGAGGCGTTGATGGGACCACGCGTGTGCTCTGTCTGCCCGGAGGACGATGGTGTTGACCTTGCAGCCGGAGGAGCGGGTGATCAATGCTGCCCTTGAGTGAAGAGGGTCATCCTGTCTCGCTGAGGCCTGGTGGCCGCGGTGCCCTGCAGAGCACGCTCCCACATCACTGTCAGCCGGTGTCACCTCCCACCGTGAGTCACTGTCCAGCCACCGTCTCAGCATCACGCACTCCAGACTTCAAAGCCATAGGCAAAGGGAGGTATTTATATGACTTTTATTTTAATATCATTTTAACATTGAATATGTTACAAGATTGAATGACCAAATTAGTCATTTACATTTTTCAAAGATATCTAAATATAAAATTGCTAAAAATTCAAATAGAGCAAGCTACAAATAATATTTCTTTTCTTTCTGGGCCGGGCAGGCATGGAAGACAGTAGAAAAGGATGCTCCTGTTGGCTGAACAAAGATCAGAACGAAAGAGGGATTCATTAAAACGACCCCGGGCAAAGAAATGCCCTCACCTTGGGGCTCTGCGGTCACCTCTCTTCCTGCACAATTTAAAAACCTGTTTGAAAAGCAGGTCCTCGGTGGACGTCTGGCCTCCAGGCTGGCCAGGGACAGCAGGAAGAGTGTCATCCCAGCAGGGAGACTGGAGAGGCTGGCGAGGACCGCGGAGGCATCTGGTGTGGCCAGAGGTGGGTGTCAGACGCCCGGCTGTGCCTCCCCACCCTCGCATGGACCCCCGCATGGAAAGGAGGGCCGTGGGGGCAGGTCCGCCTCTGCCCTGCGTCTGCGCTCACCACCCTCCTGGCAGAGAGCAGAGCAGCAGTGGCCAGCTGTGCACACAGGGAGGCCGGCCCTGAGGACAGGAAGAGGGAGCTGGGGGTCTCCAGGTTAGCAGACGCGATTCCGGGAGGCAGCCCACACGGTCTCACGCAGCTGGAAGGGCACCTGCCGTCTGAGACGTGGGAAGAGCACACGGCGGGCGCGCGGCTGACCGAGGGCCCCTCCCTGCGCCCGCTCTGCAGCGGCCGGCGGCCTGGAAGCAGAGGGGCGGCTGAGACGAGTCTTCTGGAGGGAAAATGGCGCAGCCCTGGACACACATCCCAAGCCCCCCGCCCCCCGACTTCAGCGAGATGCTATCCTCAAGCAACACACTCATTTAAACAAATGGCGTAGTTAAAACTATTGACTAAGCCCTAAACATTTCTTCTGAGAAATCGAGCCATAGCTTTTCCAATCTGCCTGTTCAATAGGGAACAGATTTTAAAGAGAATAACATAATCAATCCTTTGCCCCAAAGAAAGCTCCGCCATACCAGCCGTGATAAAGAGGACACCTGTTTATTAAAAGGACAAAAGGAAATGTACAGTTTTGTTCCTCGTTTAAGAAATTTGATCAAGCCGCAGGGAGCTGTCCGGCGAGGCCACGTACACCCGCAGGCAGGGCCGCGGCCGGTGACGGTGACCAGCGCCTGTGCAGTCGGCTGCCCTGGCACTGCTGAGCAGAGCCACGGCCACGCAGGCTCCGGTCCCGTGGAAGAGTCCCAAGCTCCATCCGTGGGGCTGGCCCTGCCCCCAGAGCCTTCCTGCCCTGTGCCCACGAGCCGGGGCGGGCTCCCCCAGGGCTGCAGGGCGCGGGGTGGGCTCGAGGGCCGCCGGGCAGGCAGGCAGGCTCTGGGCTATGGCGACAGATTGAGGCTGGAGGCTGGCGTCATTGCTGCCCTGATTTCTTCTCCTTCTGGAAGCTGAAGCTTGTACGTCTGTTCAGTTTTCTTTGTTTTTGAGCAAAATAGTCAGCCCGGGCAGTGCTTGCGCGTGATTCCAGGATGTAGTTAACCTAGAAAGCAAGAGGACACAGCCTGGTCACTTGCCAGCCAGCCTCAGCTCACCAGGCACAGGAGGGGAGGCCGGGTGGGGGCTGCCTCGGGCGGCTGCCTTGGGGCCCAACGGTCACAGCAGCGGCAGGCTGGGCTGGAGCCCCTGCTTTATGGCAGGAAAGTGGAGGCTTGAAGAAGACCAGACGGTCGGGTCTTTCATTCGGTCGGTGAGGGGGTGTTTCTGCGTCCAGAGTTTGAATTTCCACCCGAAAGGCCGTGCATTCAGCTTCCTGGTTCTGCTGTGCAGCCCTGGGCCCCGAGTCCCACTTTTGGGATGAAAATAACCAAACAAGGCTCTCCATTCATCTGCCTGCCAGCAGGTACAGAGCTTCCAACTCAGAGTTGCCTCTAACGCTCACGAGCACCCTGCAGTCAGGGCTCCCTTGACCAAAAGGAAAGAGGCTGAGAGAAGAGGGGTGGCCAGGGTCACCTAGAGGCCAGGGCCAAGGCTGCGCGAGGGGCCGTGAAAGCCTGAGTGGGGCACGCAGCGGGGCAGCCTCCCGATCACTGCTCGGGTGGGGAGGAGCCTGGCCCACTATTTCAGGTGTGGCCTGACTGCGTGCTGGGTGGCAGTGACCCACAGAGACACTGAGACACTGTCACCAGCACCTGCAGCTCCTCCTTGTCTGAGCCTGGCCCGTACGTGGTTCAAGGCACAGGAGGTCCCTGCCCCAGGAGCTCAAGGGCTGGGGAGTGTTGGGTGATGGGACAGACACACAGGGGAGCATGGGGGATGGGCGAGTCCCCATGGGGCAGGTGGCAGGCAGGGCAGCCCTGCCAAGGGAGAAGCAGCATGTGTGAAGGTCCAACTGGGGAAGCCAGAAAGGGAGTATCTGCAAAACCGCAAAAGCTTACTGGCCAGCCAGGCAAGGCAGGGAGGGCTGGGGAGGGTGGCAGCGCGGCGTTGGAGAGCTTTTCAAGGAGCAACCTCATTTAACCACCTCACAGCACCATGCTCACACACAGACAAGGAAACCGAGGCACCGAGGGGTGTGTCATTTACTCAGAGTCATGCAGTCACTAAGTGTCTGGGCCAGGCGCCAAGGCCCGGGACGAACACATCTTCCAGTTCTCTGCCTCTGAGGGCACCCCCCCACCTTCACCTCCTCAGACACCACCCTGCCCACCACCTAGCCCCCCCAAAGCGCTTTCTGTGAACAAACACCATTTGTCAAACAGCTAAAAGCTATGCTAGAAACCTGAATCTTCGTGGCAACCGAGACCAGCCACCACCTCTGCTGATTCTCCTCTGAGGGCCTTGTGTGCCATCGCTGGAGTGGGAGGGGCCTCTGCCCACTTCCAGGGCGGCCCTGAGGGTTCTCAGGGAGGCAGGCCCCAGAGGGCTAAGGGTTGACACCGTCTTCTCCAAACTTTCTGCTGTGATGGTCGCCGGCAGCAGGCGCTAAAGCCGGCATGACACAGAAGGCCGGCGCGCTCGGCCCGCTGCCTTGCCAAGCTGCCAGCTGAGAGCAATACAGCATGAGGCGCGCGGGGCCCGCTGAGGGTCTGGGAGACCACAGACGCGCATGGAGGAAGAGGTCTCGTCATCCCTGTGGAGCGCGATCCTGGATTATGTTGTTTGCACACTCAGCCAAGCTAGTCTGTTCATGCACTTCTGGCACATTCACTTGACAAGACGCATTTTAAAATGATCCTTAACAAGCCAACTATTTCCTAAATTTATTATCTTCGGTGCTTTGTGATAATCACACAGATAATTTTAATGGAAGATTAATGTAATAATCAAAAGATAAAAACGCCCTTTGGTCTGCCATTAGCTGGTTAATATGCTGTGGCTTAAAACTTGCACAATTTTATGCACTATAGAGTGTTTCACTTTCAATGCATTTTACAGCTTAAGGCATAAAAATATAGGGAGTTTTCATGGTCAATAAAGCTACAGCCTCCATCACTCGATCACGAGAAGAACCTGATTTGAAGAGTCCCATGATTCCTCTGAGATTCATCTCACAGCCTGCAGAGCCAGAGGCCGCTCATGGCTCAGCGACACCTCTGGGCGGGAAGGGCTTGCTCTGGAACTCCTCGGGGGCCACCTGAGGCTCCACCTTTACGTTTCTGTGGCCTTGGGCCTCCACCCCCTCATCTATAAAATGGGGATGATAACGCCTACACTCTGCAGGGCTGCTGTGAACATGGAGATAGTGTACATTATTGGCTTTCACCGAGTCTGTGCTCAATAAATGGGAGAGATTAGTAATTCTATAAGGGAAAAACACAAGACAAAATAACTAGCTGGGGAACTGCCTGTGTAATAGTTTCTTTGACATCAGCCTCTGACCCTTACTTCCTCCCTTCAGTTTGAGTCTAAAGTTCCCATTTTATGTAAAATTCCTGTCTTCTAGAACCAGCACGCACATCACTGAGTCCAAGACTGAGGGTGCGCTGGTGGAGACACAGCTGTGAACCCCTGGACGGGGTGGGCGCAGACTCTCGGCTGGGTGAAAGCTCACAGGGATGGCGGGACGGCAGGCTGAGCTAAGTATTTACATTGCCATAAAGAGCAGAGATAGGAGAAGTGAATTTAATCTCCCATCAAGATCATGATCATTAGCTCTCTGAGTAAATCAGGCCCGGACACCCTATGACCGTCCTGGAGTCTCATGGATGAGGCAATATTTCTATAAACATTCTGATATGAAAACAGACATTTTAGGGGAGGTGACGGGCCTTGGGGATTTTGCAGCAAAGCATCTGCTTCGAGGGAGCATTTGGTCCTGGAAAATGATTTCTCTGCACTTGCTCTTCCACAGTCTCATACTGAAGTCATAAACCTGTGTTTCTGTCATCAATCTGCTGTTGTGAAAATTATTTTGATGTCAAACACAGGATTATAATTTTACTAGAATCCTTCTCAAGTCTTGAATATTTTAATGCTGGCTATAAAAAAAAGCCCAGTCCCTGACGGGGTAATAGAATATTTCTTTACCTAGTCCCTGAACACCGCACGAGCTCCCCCAGGCTGCGTGCGATGAGCTGGCAGGTAACTCTTAGCTCGCTGGTCTCGCGCATCCGCTGGCCACTGTCTCCACGCCTGCTCTGACCGGCCAGCGAAAGCTCCACTTTTCAGCCAACTGACCACGCTACTCTGCCTTGGTGCCAACTGTCCTCCCAGCAGGCCCAGCTCTTCAATTCTCACCTACTGCTTAAATCTTTTGCAGCCCTGAGGACTTGGCCTCAAAATGTTTCTGCAAAACAATTCTATGTTGTTGAAAATCTCCTGTTCAATGCACATTGTGAGGTTAAAAGGCAGAGTTTGGGAATCTGTCAAGCTGTGGTTCTGCCAGGCATGGCCCTGGCTAAGTTACTTCCACCCCCTCCCACCGCCCCCCACAGCCTCCATTTCCTTCAGGAGTGGGAAGGAGCTTGCAGCAGCGCCTCTGAGTTGTGAAGGGTCAAGGAGACAGGGCATGTGAGGTGCCTAGTCTGGGGCCCGCACTTTGCGACTCCCAGGACAGCTCAGCTGCTCTTACTAGTGTCCCCTCCCCTCCCCGGCCCTGGCTCTAAGTTCTGCTCCGCTACAGAAGTTCTGATTTTCTATATGATCAATTGACATAAGATTCAGTTAGAAGACAGGAGTCTCAGTTTGCAAGAGTCTGCAAACCACCAGTGCAGGACTACTCAGTGTGGTACACAGATCAGCAGCCCAGGCAAATCTGGAAGCTTCTTAGAAACACATAATCTTGGCCCTACCCCCGACCTGTCCAACAATAAGGCCCCAGGGGAGCTTTCCCAGCCATAATAGGCTCTGCAAGGGTCCGCATGGCCTGGTCCCTCTGGTCCTGAGGGCCCAGAGGCAGCCTCCCAGCCACACACTCGCCCTGCCTCTCTGCCCCATCTTGGGGTGTGGGGGTGTCCCTGTGTGCAGTGCATTTTCCCTGTACTCATTAGGACTGGGTCTTTTTTTTTTTCATAGTCAGCATTAAGATATTCAAGACTTGAGAAGGATTCTAGTAAAATTCTGCTTCTCCATCCACCCTGTCCACCTGCCCCAGCAGTTCACCGTCTCACCCACACAGCAACTGTGTGACTCTAACAATCCCCTTTGTCATTTTCTGCTTAATGCCTGTCTGGTCTGATAGAGGAGAAGTTCTCTGAGGCCAGTCACTGGCTCTCACCCCCAGAAGGTGCTCAGTGAGTGCTCTTGAGATACATCCAATTCTAGCATAAAGTTGGGGGTATTTAGAACAAGCTGCTAAAATTATCCTGAGTATGTTAAGATGTCTTCAAACAATAACAATACTTTCCTCAGAGTCTGCTCCAGCAAACCTCAAGGAGCTCCTGAGACAGATGGAAGAAAAGAAATGGCTCACTCTAAGGATAACGGAACCCATGAAGACCCAGGGTCACTGGGGAGCCGGGAGGAAGCTGAAGGGGGTGCCACCCTGATGCGGCTGCCCCGAGGTGTGACTCCAGCCTGGGCGTGCCCAGCAAGGTGGCTGTGGCAGCCCACTTCTTCCTGCAGAGCTCGGCCAGAGCCTCGTCCAGGGCAGGGGTGGGAGAGCCCCTGCAAATCGGGCTGGAGCAGAGGCCAGGCCAACACCTCATCCCCGGCCCGGAAGGGACACTTACCTTGAGCACAATTTCATTGACGGTAGCAGCGTCAGATTCGAAGTAGAGGTGTTTGTAGTCATGATTGCTTAGATACGTGAGTTTAAATATTGCGTGACCTGGAGAAAGAGGGAAAAGGCAGCGTTGAGGGGTCCAGTGGTGAGCCACGGGGCCGCCCCCAGAGTTCTCCTTATCACTCCATGGAGTGAGAGCAAGTGGAGACTTCGGGTGACGCCGCCTCCCTGGGCTGGTCTGGAGCTCAAAGGGCAGCTGGGGCCACTGCACCCTGGAGCCGGTGCAGGAAGGCATGGCAGGAAGGCTTTGCAGAACTACTGCACAATAATCACAAGGAAAAGGTGGTGTTTTATGGTAGAAGGCCAATTACCTCCAAATTATTACTCTAAAAATACAGTAACTCTGCTTACAGTCAAATTAATGAGCAACAGGAAGGAAAGGCAGGTAGTAATGCTATTACGAGGCTTCTCCACAGCCCCGGCTCTGCTGGGAAGGGGGTCTTGTGACCCTGCATGGAAGCTGCCTTCCAGGCCTCGGTCATTTCAACCCTGGAAGCAAGGATGGGGGGCAGGGTGAGGGTTGCTCTGAAGACACCATGGGAAGCTGGCACCTTACAAAGGAACCGAATCTCACCTGGATCCTCGTTTCTCACCCCTCTCCCACCTTCAGAACAACACTCACTCCTGGGAGTGCTCCTGGCCTGGCCTCCTTCCTCTCCATGCCCACACAGGCCACAGGCCGGCCATCCCTACCCCGGCACGTCCTCACTCGCTGACCTGTCTGATCTGCTGATCCTTAATGACTCCAGACCTGCCATCGCCTCCCTGGGCGGCTTCACAGCTACCCTTCTAGGCACCTGCTGTGTGGCCTCCTACACTGCAGGCACAGAGACCTGCTGGCTCATGACACCTGCAGCCAGGTCGGCTCCCTCTGCTCTGGCCACTCTCATTCCCTCTGGAAACAGAACCACATGCCCATCAGCATACGCTGCCCTTGGCTTCTGGGAGGCTCACGGTCCTCAAGACAGTCCTCTTTCTCCTTAAGCGATTCTCAAGCTGGTTTCTGCTCCCAGCCACCACCTGGAAACGCAGGTGGGCAGTGCTCAGCAAGCACTCCCAGGCCAAAGAGCAGCAGGAGGGGTCCCCAACACAGAGGCCTCCGCCAAGAGCCCCAGAGACCATCTCCCTAGTTGGCTCTGGAGACCTCAGGGCTTGCAAGATTAAAATTCAGCATATCCTTCTATTAGGCCTTCTCATCTCTGTTCTTCTAATTGAAGCGATGACTGGTCATAGTTATTAATTAATAATATATCACCCACATTCCTGTAAGTTCACCTCTTTCCCGGAGAAATCTTCTTGGGGACTTTATTTACAGGAGCTAATTCTTCAGATCTCCAAAAATAAACTGATATATGTTGTACTTTCTGTGGCCAGAAAAGTGGAGCTGTGGGTATTTTATCCTGAAAACATCATTATGATATACTAATTGTGACTATAAATTCCATTTTGAAAAAATTAGCTAATAATTTCTGAAAAATGTCACTTCCAGTCACTTGACAAATTTAGCCTGATTCTAAATCAAGGTACTAAATAAAATGTTAGAATCCTTCGCTGGAAGCTAATCATCCTGTTAATATATAAATTACCTGTTTCTGATCAGAAAGTGAATCTCACATAGATTTATCTGCATACATGTACGTGTGTGCGTGTGCCTTTATTTTCACAGGCTCCGTCTCAGGACGACAGTCTTGGTGGTGATGTCACTGCGTGGAAGAACAATGCAGACACCGTTTGGGCCGTGCTGTGACCAAGCAGAGCCATCTATGAAGGTCACAGGGCTGTGAAGGACAAACAGACGCCCCCTCCAGGAGGCCTTACTGCTGACACCTGGCTGTGACAAACACAGACACCAGGGCCCCGGGCTAAAAAGGACCAGAAGGTCTTAGGGAGGCCCGTAGACCCGAAGCTTCGGGGTTCACTGAGCACCTTGATGTGATCTCATGGACTGTCCACACCACCTGCTCCCGCTCGTCACTGACAAACAAAACCAAACCTCAAGATGCTGTAACGTGTTCACCTTAATAACCGAGTCACCGCTGAAAACCTTCAGGCAGAGCCAAACCTACCCACAGCATATGCGAGCTGCAGTTTGCACAGGCCTGGGAGCCTCTGTAAGGAATCCCTGCACCGCTGCGGGCTCAGAGGGGAGGCCCGCAGTTCATCTGCGCAAGTCAGATGGACAAGAACCGTCCTAAGCCAAGTCCCCTGAAAGGCTAGTCTGGCCAGGTGACCACAAAACACCGCACCTTCTGTATTTGGCTGCGCAGGGGGTGGCGTGTGCCTTTTGCCTGTCCTCAGCACTCATTCCAGAGACCCCAAGGAAGAGCGACACAGACTGTGATGATGAGAGGTTCCCCCCACCCCTGACTCTAGCCTCTGACTTGTCCTTTCCGGTGAAGCCTTCGTGCTGCCTAGAGAAAGCGGAGCACTCGCATTTTCAATGCACCAGCCCTTCTGTGACAGCTGGAGTCACGGATGTGAATAACGGGGGGCCTCTGTGGGAGGAGTGGCGAGGGAGCACTCTACGTACACCCCCAGGCTCAGAGCTACGCCTTCACCGGTGCTGGGGCCCCGGGCATGGGGTCCACGCGCCACGAGAGGAAACTCTCACGCACCTTAGGGCTCCCTCAGTTTTGCTGGGTGGCCAGAAGGGCCGTGTCCCCCAGCTCAGGTCCTGACAAGCACACAGGCCGGCGGGTAGGCCAGAGAAATGAACAGCGAGAGTCAAGCCTGGTAAGTGTTAAAAGTAAGCGAGGAGAGCAGCTGGGGGACCCCAGTGGAAGCGGTGGGCCACAGGGGGAGAGCTCTCTGACCCCTGAGCAGTCTAGAGGCGGAGTGAGTTGGTAGAAGGGGATGCAACAGGGTAAGGACAGCGCGGGGACCAATGCTCAGGGCGCAGGGCTAGTGGGGGCCTGCGGGGGGTCGCGTGCCGTGGGCAGGTGCAAAGGACCGGCCGTGGAGTCGCCAGCTGAGGGCTATAAGCTCTGCAGTACGGTAAGTGGCCCAGCTGTGCCTGCGGGTACTCACGCTGGCTCCCCAGGGCCTGCGGGCAGGGAGAGGGGCTGCCACACTCATCCAAGTGGGATGTGTGGTTTGGAGCTAGACGGACACAGGCTGTGAGCGAGGGAGTGGCTTGAGAACTCCCGAGAAGGCAAAGTTGGCAGGACTTGGGGATTCTTTTACACAGAGTAACAGCTAATAAGCAGAATCCACACTTGTATAATTTCCCCCCCGTCCAAAACCTATATATTTAAGTGTAACAAGTTAATTGACCTCTTGCTGGAAACAAATCTATCAATAAACATGAGTGATTGAGCGCCCAGGTGAATTTCCACCAGGGGTGTCTGGGAAGGGGGGGAGCCCGGGCATTTCAACTCTGACCGAGCAGATTAAGAACCTGGAATAAGGAAGGGCCTATCGCCTTCTCGGCCCTTGCCACCTCGCGCTCACTTCCGCTGGCAGGGGAAGAGGCGGCCAATGACCACCTCAGCCGCAGCGCCCCCGGGCATCTGTTCTGGGGTGTTTGAGGGAACCAGAGGTGGACAGGTTACCCTGGAAAATTCCAAGAATATCAGTGCTTTTCATAGGGAAGGAGCCAACATCTAACTGTAGATGTTGGCTGAGAAAAAAAATGTACGAGTATGATTTAAAAGAAAATGCAAAGTCCAACGTTCTCATTAGTTCAAATCATTTGTTTGGATTATTCAACTGTTTGGAAATCAAGGCAGGACAAAAGCCTGAGCTCGGGAGCCACAGGCTCAGATGAAATTCCTGCTCTCCTGAATTTAGCGGCGGGGCCTTGGCAAGGCGTGGTCCCCATAGAAGCCCAGGCTCACCCTGGGGGCGCATCAGTTTCTCAGGAGCTCTTGGAGATGGTGGGTGCCCAGTGGGCAGTGCTGGGCCTGCTGTTTGAAGATAAGATGCTCATTATTTTGAAGATTTCATTTTTAACTGGGCCTCCTTTGAGCAGACCCGCTTTCCCAGAGCTGCAGCTATCAACGCAATACAATGGCGTATAAAATGTGGCATCGCAGGGCTGGTCCCACACTGGGGCAGACACGACACTACAACGGCTTCTGAGGACTGAAGTCCAAGTCTGGATATGTGAAAATGTATTTACATTTATGTATTTTCCTCAAACTAAAACAGAGAAGATGAAAGGTAACACCAAGCAGAAACTAATTAGCAGCGTAAATGTCAGAAGTGGAGCCGTTTGGGCTCATGTGCTGTAATTTATCTTCTGTGTTATGAATTTTAACTTATACAAGAGGCTGTGCTGAAAAAAAGAGGTTCCTCTGGTCAATTCACAGCAGTGGCCACTGTGAAAAAGCTTCCAGCGTCACACATGGGGACAGCAGCGTACACTATCCTGTGAAAAGGGCGCCCACATTTCCACCGCCAGAGGAACAGAGATTACTGCGTGAAAGGAGGGTCCCTTCTGACACAGCCTGCTCACAGGTCAGAGTTGGGGCTCCCTCCCAAGCCTCAGCTGTCCAGTCTCCACTGGAAGCTCCAGTTCAAGGCAAGTCAACTGGCAAAGGCTGGAACTCCTTCCGCCACACCCATCATGGCAAAGGCCAGGGAACTGTAGTGACCTCTGACCTCTGCAGCAGGGGCTGTCTGGCCCACTCACACTGCTTGGATCTTTCAAACCCCCTCTATTTTTGGCACTTTCCTGTGGACATAATTAAGGCTCTCTGGTTATAAAAACTCCCATGCAATGTGATTCGCCTTCTTCCTCCAATTTATTGAAAACACTCTTGCTAAGGTCACACTACATTGACAGACCCAGGAAGTACTTCTCGGCATTGACTCAGTTTCTCAGCTGTACTTGACACCGCTCCTAGAAGTCCTCTCTTTCCATGGAGCCACAGCCCCTTCTTCACTCGACTTCTCCTGCCAGTCAGCTTCTGGGGTTTCCTCCTGGTCCTTCCTCTGTCTCTTACATGGTGCTCACCCCCGTGGCCTTTCTTCCACCCTCACCTCTTCCAAATGCTACCTTTCTCCTCTGTCAGGCTTGCCATCTAGGTTTTGATTTCTACTCA